GCCATTCGGGAAGTAGTTGGCAAGAGAGCTAGTTCAATCTAAAGAGCCGGCGCATTGCGCCACCAGGGACGCAGGAGGGGGGGGCTCGTCGTCCTCGCGCCGCGAGGTACCGAGCCACGGGCCCACGAGCTACTGGGAGTCGACTCGGGGGGGAGTCTACTCGGGGGGGAGGCGCGCACTCGTGCTTCTTCTCGTTGCGCACCGCCCGCGTGTAGCCGGGAGGGAGGACCGCGTCCGCGCGCAGCTTCGGAGCGGGCACAAGAGCGGCGGGCGCCTCGCCGCCTGCGCCCTGCTGGGCAACCGCCGCTGGAGCGGGGGAGGAGCCGCACCACTCCTCCTCCCCCGCCGCTGCCTCCGCCGCCGTCACCACCGCCACCGTCGCCACCGCCTCGGGCAGCACCGTCGCCAGCTCCGCCTCATCCTCCTCGCTCCCACCGACAGAGTACGAAGCGACAACCTCTGGCACCGCCGCTGCCGAGGCGGCAGCCGCTCTCGCAGTCTCCGCCGCCCGCAGCCGCGCGGCGCCATCCGCCGTCGTCGTCGAGAACTGGCGCCACGCCGCCGCGCGGCTCGAGTGCCTGGACCCGTCGGGCGCCACGTACCAGTACTCCTTCTTCTTCTCGTTGCGCACGGTGCGCGAGAAGCCGGGCGGCAGCGCGGTGTCGGCGCGCGGCTTGGGCTCTTTCCGGGGCTTGCCCACCGGCTGACTGCCCGCCGGCTCGTCGAGTTGCCGCTTGCCCAACACGTTGCCGGGCGGGGGCCCGCCGGGCGTGGCGGCAGGCACAGCGGTGTCGCGGCCGCCATTATCGCCGGGCGAGAGCACGGCCTCGGCAGATTCCTCGAGTATCACGGCGATTGGAAGCGCGGGCGAGGCCGCGGAGGACGGCACGGAGTCGAGCTGCTCGCGCAGGATCGCGGCACTGCCGAGCTCCTCCGGCACCGCTGCCGCAGTGGGTCCCGGCGGCGTGAAGGGGATGGCGACGGGTAGCTGGTCGCACACAGTCCCACCGTTGAGTGTGTCCATGAGGGGGGGCGCACAGGGAGGGTCCCCAGATGCTCTCCTCACTAGATGCGCGCGCCAACAAAGAATTCTGATGTGCGTTTTATTCACACCCAATCGACCCTGCGCCCCCAGGGACAGGCGCACCACCCCGCGCTGCAGCGAGGTCTCCCAAGCGTGAACAGGCCCCGTGAATTCTCGCGCCGCCTAGCTGAGGGCCCAACTTCAGAATCGTTCGTGCTTTTTTGGGTTAGGGAGGGACGAGCACGAAGGGCCGATTGCGGTGAAGGCTGGCTGATGAGGGAGTAGAGGATGTAGAGTGTAGAGCACTGTAGAGCTGTAGAGATGAAGAGCGCTGTAGAGCTGTAGAGCTCTACATCCGCCGCGTGACGATGTGAGTCCGATGTTACATGTAGAGCGATGTGGAGGCCTCTACAACGTGAAATCTCTACAACAAACTCCAGATCATCCGCCGCGGCGAAGCAGAGGCACGGTCGCTCTCCGACATGAGGCGCGTTGCACTTGCCAGTGCTGCCCTGGCCTTCGGCTGTCTGCCCGCCCAATGGGTGGCAGGTGCCTCTGCTGCTGTGGCATGCCTCACGGCTGCGACTGGCCGGCGCCTCGGCGCATCAGCTCGGCTTGGCGCAGCGATCGTGGCCGCATGCAACGCATCTGAATGCTCGCCTCGCCTCACGCAAATGCGACCGTCCTCGCAGCCGACAGTCCACCGCCTGCTAGAGAAGCACTGCGATGAATGCGGCACCGGCGACGTATGGCAGGCTGGTCATGACGCAGTTAGGGTGTTGTGTGCCGTCAGAGTGACTCTCTGTGTGTCAGGGATAGTCAGGGCCGTCCATCAGCGAGCTCCAGTAAGCTCGGAGACACCCCATTAGTGCGACTCGACCTCTTTGAGTCACTGCCTTCCCGGCGGTTTGGCTGTAGAGCCTCTACAACAAACTCTACAACAAAATCGCGCTCTACATCGCTCTACAACGCAGGCGCCTCGTCCCGCGGCGCGCGGATGTAGAGCTCTACAGCTCTACAGAGCTCTACATCTCTACAGCTCTACAGCGCTCTACACTCTACATTCTCTGTGGCCGGTCTTGTGGGAGAAGCGTTGGCCGGGCTGCCCGCGCGCCTTGCAGCCCATGTTTAGGCAGCGGGCCTTCTCTTCGGTGTTGCCGAAGGCGTAGGAGTGGCCAACGGAGGCGGGCGTGCCGCCACTCGAGGCGTTGCCAACGCCCGGCGAGGAGGTCTTGAGGAGGGGCGTCCAGAGGTTGATTTCATTCACTTCATCGCACCCACCCCCCCGGTCCCGCATGGGGTTCTGCGAGGTCAGTCTTGTACCCCTAGTTGTACGGTGGTGGGCCTTGTTGTAAAGGTAGTCGCCGAAGAAAAATCGACTGGCATGCCCCGCTCGAGCGCGACCCGAAGGGTGGGAAGCGCCGCGGAGAGCCAAAGGCCGAGCTTCCGCTGGAGCTCGTCCTGGAGGGTGTCGGAGGAGAGGGCGGTGGCGTACGTACCGTCGACACCACGGACATCGAAGGCCTTGCCGGCGAAAGGCGTTGAGGCGGAGACGAAGCGCGCGGCTTCGCGGTTGTTGACGGCGCTGTCTCCGAGGGACGGGTTGTTCTTGACGTGCACATCCCGCGCCTTGACGAGCTCCTGGTGCGCGTACCAGTCCTTGTGATTCTTGATGGCAGCGAGCGCCCGCGGCCGCGGGTACGTGGATTTGCAAGTGCCATTGAGAATCGCGTCGGTGTAGCTGGAAGGGACTCGGGCTCGGGGAGCGGGACGCTCTTGGGGTAGAACTCAGTCAGGTAGCCGCCGCGGACGGTGTAGTACTTGTTTTTGTCGCGGGCGGTGCGCTTCTCGCACACCTCCTTTGTCGCTTTGTCCCTACGACCAAAAAAGCACGATTCTGAAGTTGGGCCCTCTAGCTGCTCTGCGGACGGGCCCCACCCTTCACGTACGGATCATATAGTCCCCACACTCGCTGTCGTGGGATCGCTTGTCATCATGTGAGAACCAGCTTGGAGCAAAAATAGAGCAGTCATCTCCAGGGAGAGATGGGCGACGCACACGAACACAGAGGGACAGTGCGCACCCCGCCCCGCTCGGCGGGCGTGCATCACACAGGTGGACTGTGTGACTCCTCGGGTTTCTGGGACTCAGAGGTGTGCTAGTCGCTATTCTCCGACAATTCCGACATATCTGACGGGCAGTTCGGGCTCGAGCGGTCGCGGTCGCGGCCAAGACGTGAGGCCTGGCTAGGGTTGCCGGGCGAGAGCTCGACCAGAAAGAAAGAAAGAAAAAGACAAGCCAAGGGAGGGATGGGAGGACGGCACGCCGCCACCAGACAGGGATTTTAAGCTCGACCACTTGGAGCAGAAAGAAAGAAAGAAAACAGACACGCCAAACGAGGGATGGGACGAGGACAGGGTCCCCACCTGCACGAGCAGGATTTTGGAAGAACGATCAGGGGGACAGGTGGGGCTCTCCTGCTCCTGACAAGGGACACGACAGGCTCGCAGCGCGGTGCGCGGTGGACTCCCACATCCACTGGCGGTCTCATCTCAGTCTAGCGACCTGCCTCCAGCTTGTCGCTGGCAGTCTCTCCTACCACAGGCACACTGACACAGGGGTGGCAGGGGCGGCGGCACTTGGAGCTTTGCTATATGCTTCTGAGCTTACTTTCTCTTCTCAGTTGTAAAATTCTCTTCTCAAGTCACGACTGTCTGACACACGCCATGCTCGCGGTGCTGCTGTTCGCGGCTGCGGCGGACGACGCCGAGGAGCCGCGTGCGTCTCTCCTCTTCTACAAGAAGCTGAGCCAGACGCACGGCCACGCCGTGAATAAGCCGTTCAACGTCACACTCACCGTTTACAACAAGGGTGCGCGGCCGCAGTGTGTTTTCCGCGGTCGCTCAGTACACCCACCGCCCACGCCGCCCGCGCGTCCAGGGGTGGGCAACGCTTACAGCCTGATCGTCGCCGACGACAACTGGAAGGCGGACAAGTTTCGCATCATTGGCGGCGGCAACAACTTCACGCTCGACTTTCTGAATGCGGGCGACACTTACGAGCACGAGTTTGTAGTCAAGCCGATCCGCAAGGCGTGGCACAGGGTGCGGCCCGCGAAGATGTTTTACGTCGACGGCGATGCGGGCGAGTCGACCGTCTCCCACCTCTCCAACTCTCTGCCCGACATGAGGGTGATCGAGAAGCAAGACTCGCTGGAGGAGGCGGCGATCATGGCGGGGAGGGTGCTGACGCTCAACATGATCAAGACGAAGCAGGGCTGGATGGCCTTCGCCGCGCTGGCGCTGCTCGCCATCTGCGCCCAGCTCTACTTTATCGGCTCCGCGGTGCTGCACAAGCGACGCCATCTGCGCGCGCTGGAGGACGTCAAGAAGCTGTAGACCTCCGCACGGGAGGCGGCGGGCCGGGTCCGCGCCGCGCGCAGGCCGCGCCGCGTCTTGCGCCCCCGTTTCCGCGGGCCGCCGCGCGGTCCGTCCACGGAGCGCAGAGCCTTGCCGCCGGACGCGGACCTAGGGACGCCGTCGCCCGCCCGAGGAATTGATGCGAGAGCGGAGGAAGGATGTAGAGCGCTCCATGCGTACGAGATGCGAGGCTGGGCTGGCAGAGTGGCAGAGCGCAGCATTGTGATTTTAAACGAGAATATCGCGAGAAGCACTGACGCCGCTCTATGCGGTCTGAGCGCTCGGTGTTGGTAAGTGACTCACACAACCGTCAACCCCAGCGGCGGACGGCGCTCAGGGCTCGAGGCTGAGAGTCAGGCCCACCGCACGCTGCTCAGCCTGTCGCTCAGCTCAAGCGCGCTCTCTGCCAGAAGTGATCTTCTCAACGGTGTGCAAGACCGAGGAGCATCGTCGGAGAGTATCGCCGAGTGCGAGGTCGAGTGTGAAGCGTGACAAAGGAGACGACGACCGGGACGACGCGCCCTTCCCAATTTTTTCCCTCTTTCTTGAAGATTTAATTTCTTTTTTCGCGGCCGCAAAGCAACCGGAGTCGGCAGCGCATGCTCCACTCATTCCACGTGAGTACAGTGCGGCGCTTCCCGTCCCACCGCGCGTACAGCTCACCCTCTCCACTGCCGCCAGATCTTCAACCGCAAGGGCGACTTGCTCTTCTACAAGGCTCGTGCTTCCCACTCACGCCGCTATCAAACCCGTATTTCCACACAGTCGCATTTCCTGACGTGATCCTCAGGAGTGGGCGCGAGCGCCGCGCTCGGCCAAGGCGATGGCGGACGATCACAAGCTCATGTTTGGCTTCCTCTTCTCGCTCAAGCAGCTCGTCAACAAGATGGCGCCGCGCGGGCGCGGCCATCGCTACTCGCTCTCTCCCCATCGCCACTCCGCCTCATCCTTCACTCCCCCTCCTCAGCTCGGGCGGAGGGCTCCACGCCTGCTCCACCTCGACCTACAAGCTGCACTACTTTGAGACCGCCTCAGGTCCTCCGCCCTGCCGCCACAGCCGCCTGTCTAGATTTGTATCACTGAGGCGCGGGCCGTGCTCCCTCTGCAGGCCTCCGCTTCGTCCTCTGCACCGGCGCATCCCCGCGTCCGCGAGGGCCGCCTGCCATAGACAGACGCCGAAAGCGACGGCTGTCGCGAATAGGACTCGCCGCCGGCGACTTGCGCGAGACGCTGCGGCGGCTGTATGCCGACATCTACGTCGAGACGCTCACGAAGAATCCGCTCCACCGACTCGACGAGCCAATCACCTGCAAGAGCTTCGAGCAGGCCGTCGACGCATTCTTCGCTAGCCTACAGCAGGGGCAGGGCTGACAGCCCCCGCTGCCCAAATATTTTACTAATACTATCGCGGGGAGAAGAGGGGGGCCGAAAAGGGTAAAGGAAGTCTATAGAGTCTTACGTAATTCGTGTTGTTTGTACCATACCTACTCGATCACGGCCATGCGTGCGGCAGTGGGGGCGGTGCAGACGCGCCCACTCCAAACCCGGCCGCCTCTGTGCCGGGCGGCCTCCTGCCCCGCTTGGCCGTGGGTCTCTTGAACGACTTTTGACCGGCACCGTCGGCACGCAACGCCGCCGCAGCCTCCCCGGGCAGCAAGCTCGCGGTTTCCTTTTCAGCGGCCGCTTTGCCACCGGCGGAAGAGCGGGCGGCGTTTGCCGCCTGCCGCAGCTGCGCGTACCGCTCAAGCAGCTCAGACTCCTCGCGGGAGAACTGCGGCGGAGGGGGCGCCGGCGGCTCATCAGCCTCGCCGGCCGCGGCATCGGGAACCGGCTGCCCGCCCACGGTCAGCTTGAACTTGATTGGCGCCGGAGCGGCCGCAGGAGCCGCCGCAGGAGCCGCCTTTGGCTTGGCCGGCCGGCGGCGCGGGATCGGCGCCTCGTCGTCGCTCGACTCGCCCATTTCAAATTCGCCGTACCGGACAGGCGCGGCGTGCTGCCTTCGGCTGGACATGAAGCTTATCAATGGTCTTGCAACCAGGTGAGATCTGGAGTGCTCGACAGGGTCGGGTCACACAGGCTCTTGCGGCGCGAACGCCGTTTTCTTTAGCAAAGATTTTTTTCTCTGGTAAGAGCCTCTACGCTCTGGGCCTGGCCCCGGCCGCAGCACCGCCCGCCTCCGCCTCCTCAAAACTTGGGCGTCTCGCCCGGCAGCGTGAAGCCCATCGCCCGCTTCGCGTCGGCGAGCGTGCGGCTCGCCGTCTCGTCCGCCGCCTCGGCGCCCTCCCGCAGCACCGAGGCGAGGTACTCCGGCTCGGCGACCAGCTCCGCGTACCGCGCCTGCAGCGGCTCGAGGTGCGCAATCAGCGCGTCGGCGAGCAGCGGCTTGAAGGTGCCCCAGCCAACCCAGGTGGCGGCCTCCGCCTCCACCTCCTCCTTGCTCTTGCCCGTCATCGCCTCGTAGATGCCCAGCAGGTTGTTCGCCTCCGGCCGGTCGGGCGAGTAGCCGATCCCCTTGATCGAGTCCGTCTTGCACTTTTTGATCTTCCTCCGGATCTCGTCCGGGCTGTCGAGGAGGTTGATGCGCGAGAGGTCGTTTGCGTCCGACTTTGACATCTTTGCGGTCCCGTCCTGCAGGCTCATCACGCGCGCGTTTGACTTGACGATGAGCGCCTCCGGCTCGACGAAGACCTTGCGCTTCTTCTTCTTGGCGTACTTGTCGTTGAAGCGGCGGGCGATGTCGCGCGTGAGCTCGAGGTGCTGCCGCTGGTCATCGCCCACAGGGACGAGCTGCGCCTAGGTGGGGGCGAGGAGAGGGTCGGCGAGGAGAAGGTCGGCGCCGGGCCGAGGACTGTGCGGGAGGAGGGTCGAGGTCGAGGAGCGGCGGGAGGGCTGCGGGCCGGCCGGGGCCGCGGAGTCTGCATCCTGTGTGAGGGCTGCGGGGAGGGGCGGGAGGCTGCGGGAGGGGGGGCGGTCTCACCTGGTAGAGCAGGATGTCCGCTGCCATCAACACTGGGTAGTCGAAGAGGCCGACCGAGACGCTCTCTGCGTTGGCGGCGCGCTGCGACTTCTCCTTGTACTGGATCATCTTCTCGAGCCAGCCCATCGGCGTGGCGCAGTTGAGCATCCACCTGCTCACATCGCCACCGGTGGAGAGGTGCGAGGAGCCGCGCCGCCCGCCTCCCAGGTGGAGAGTGCATCAGCTCGGAGTGCGCAGAGACGTGCGACTGGACAAAGATGTTTGAGCGCTTGGGGTCGATGCCAGCCGCGAGGTAGAGGGCCGCGGTCCGGTAGGTGGCCTGCGAGAGCTCCTTCGGGTCGTGCGGCTGCGTGATCGCGTGCGAGTCCACCACGCAGAAGAAGTTGTCATATGACTCCTGGTTGGCGACCCACTGCCGGATCGCGCCGAGGTAGTTGCCGAGGTGCAAGACTCCGGTGGGCTGCACGCCCGAGAGCACCCGCTTCTTGACGCCAGCCGCGCCGCCGCCGCCCGGCGCCTCCGCCGTCTCCGCCGCCGCGCCTGCGTCTGCCAAGGTGCTCGCAGCACATCGCGGTGCCGAGAGCACGCGGGCGGCCCTGCGGCCTAACGCGGCGGAGGAGCCGAGCGTGCTCGCTGCGTGTCTGCAGCGCGGCGCGACGCAGCTGGCCATCGTCGTGAGCGTCATCAGCCCGAGAGGCATGGGAGCGTGGAGGAGAGGGCGAGAAGGCGCGGCGCGGGCTGGATCGGCTCGCCTGCAAGAGCTCTCGCAGAAGAGTCGGAGTTTTTTATTTCTCGAGTCAAACGAGAGAGAAACCGTGGCACAGTCCACCTGTGTGATGCACGCCCTGTGAGCGGGGCGGGGTGCGTGTGACTCAGGGTTACGAAGGAACCCCAGAAATAGCACTACAGCACACAGTGGCGGGCAGTCAAGACACGCGAAAAATCCCTTGGAGGAACTTGCACAAAACGCTAACACTGTCTCGCCGAGGCTCGCCGAGGCGCGGGGGTTCCGTTGCCCCTGCGCGTTGTGGGACCCTTGGTGGGACCTGCTCAAGCTTTTGGGCTTCAGGGCGTGCTGCTGTGCGCCAGCTACTTTTCGGCTCCCGCATGGCCACCGACCTCTGGCGCCTCGACCGGCGCGAGATACTCGCGCTAGTGCACCAGTTCCTGCAGAACGAGGGCCACCTCGGAGCTGCCAAGGAGCTCGACGCGGAGCTCTGCGAGGTGGGCGCGGCGCCGAGTGTGCCGGTGAGGCAACTCGAGCACCTGCTCAATCTTGCACTGAGCCATGCGCACGGGCTCCCCGGCGACACCGGCTCGGAGGCCACGCAACGCACGCTCGCGGCCAAGCTCGGCCGCGCCGGCAGCCACGGCGCCGGCAGCTCCTCTGCTCTCCACGCGAGCCTCTTGACGCGAGACTGGGCCTCCAGTCGCCTCTACGGCGCGATCCGCTCGGAGCTGAGCGAGGAGGAGCGACCCGCCTCGCGCGGCCGGGACGCGGCGGCAGCCCAGCCGCCGGCGGGGAACGGTCAGACCGTAGCAGAGTCGCCGCGCTTCGCGAGGCCGCCGCCTCCGCCGCTCCCGTCGCCACGCCTTCAGCCTCCTCCGGCGCCGACGCCTGGCCCGAGGGCTCCGCCTAGCGGCCCTGGCCACTACCCAACCGGCCCGCGCCCTCCGCCGCCGCCATCGCAGCCGCCGCCACCGCCGCACCGCTCCGTGCCGCCGCCTCCGCCGCCCGCCGGACGGCACCCTCCGCCATCCGGGCTGCCTCGGCGGCACGGAGACGCAACAACACGGCCTCCCCCTCCCCCTCCGCCTCCTCCGGCGCACGGCGGCGAGGCGGGCGGGGCCCGCGACGACAGGGGGAGGGACGGGTCGGGCGGGCCTGCCTCGCGGGGCAGTCAGGCGGGCAGTCAGGCGGGCAGCCAGGCCCGCCCAGCCGCCCGCAGCAGCCGCCCCGCCCCCGCGCCAGAGGGAGGGAGGCCCGCTCTGAACGGGGGAGGGGGGGCGGGTGGCGGGGAGGGCGCAAGGCAGGGCGCAAGGCAGGGCGCAAGGCAGGGCGGAGGGGAGGGCGGTGCGGCGAGCCGGCCTGGCGTGGCAGAGGGCGGGCAGACGCAACTTGCGGCGCGGGAGGAGGCTGTGGAGAGCGAGGCGGAGGAGGGGGAGGCGGAGGAGGGGGGGGCGGAGGAGGGGGGGGCGGAGGTCTCGGGAGGCGCGCGTGCGGACGAGGCTGGTCGCGATGCGGTGCTGGGGTCGGAGGGGGCGGCTGGGACAGGAGATGGGGAGGGAGAGGCAGAGGGCGGGGCGGAGGAGGCGGAGGAGGCGGAGGAGGCGGAGGAGGCGGAGGAGGCGGAGGGGGTTGCGGAGGAGCCGGCGGTGCTCGACGACGCGCGCGGGCTCGACCGCCTCTTTGCGCGGGGCCTCTGTCCGAGCGTCTTCTTCATTCGTCCTTGCGACCTGCCTTGAATAGGCTCGACGACCTCTTGGGCGGGGACTCGGACCTGGACGACTTGCTCGAGGAGGAGAAGCCCAAGGCGGCGCACAAGGTGGCGCACAAGGAGAAGCCAAAGGAGAAGCCGAAGGAGAAGCCGAAGGTGGCGCACAAGGAGCAGCCGAGGGACAAGCCGAGAGACCAGCCAAGAGACAACAAGCCGCAGGAGAGGCAGGAGAGGCGAGCCGCGCCGCCGCACGCTCCGCCTACCGCCGCCGCCCCCGCGCCGGTCGCCTCTGCACGGCGGGCGACGGCGGGCGGCAGCGAGGGCGCTCAGCCGCGGCGGCCGGCGCAGCCGCCCCCTCCGCCTGCAGCGGTAGCAGCGCCCGTGGCTGCCGGCCGCCCGCGCGTGGCGGACCGCCCTCGCGATGCGCCGCCTCCTCCCCCTCTCGGCACGCCTCCCCCTCCCCCTCTCGGCGGGCAGGGAGGAGGGGTGCGAGCACCGCCGAGGGGCGCCGCCCCTCCTGGCCCGCAGGGAGGAGGGCGAGGCCAGGGACGAGGGGGAGGCCAGGGAGGGGGGGGGACAGCTCCCCCCTCGAGGATCCCGGCCGCGCACGGGGAGCCGCCACAGGGACCTCACAACGGCCACTCAGGCGGAGGCGCGGGCCCGGGCCCGGGCGGGAAGCGCCCCCACAGCTCGAGCTGTATTCACAGCTCCCCCCAGAGCGCAGCAGTTGCGGGGCCGGACCCGAAGCGGTGGGAGCCTGCCCTTAGCCCTGCCGGCCCCGCCACCCAGCCCCCCCCCCCCCCCGCTCCCCGACCAGCAGCCGTCTCGACGCAGGCCGCGCGGTGCCGATCTCCCGCCTCGAGATCTCCCGCCTCGAGAACTCCTGCCGCCCGCGCGAGGCTACCCTTCAGGAGGCTCGGACAGGGGAGGCACGGACAGGGGAGGGGACAGGGGAGGGCGCCCCTCCGCCTTCAGCTCCGCTCCCCCACCTCCGCCGCCGCCGCAACGAGGAGGCGCGCACCCGCGGGGCGGCGCTCCGCCTCCGCCGCCGCAGCGCTCCCCCTGTGGCCCGCGGCCACACCCGCCGCCGCCGCCGCCGCCGCCCGTCGGCCTCGCACCGGCCGGCGGCGGGCGGATGCACAGCGCGCGAGGCGCGCCGGGTGGGCGGCGCTGATACGGCTGCAGAGAGGCCGCCGCCATCCCGTCAAGAAAGATCGTCATGGACATGGCATCCGCAGCTCGCGAACCGTTTCCACCGAGAGACCGCCTCGCGAGGGTCGTGGTGTCACGCGTGAGAGAGGGCTCGCTCGCACCTCGCTCTCTTGTTCTTTTGCTATTTCATTGTTTGATTATCTCACCGCCAGGGCCCAAGCCACTTTCGACATCTCTCAGAGTCTTGACGAGACGGCACGCCACACCCGCCGCGGCGTTTTTCGCCGGCTTCCGAGGTCTGAGCTGTGACCGCACCGCACCAAACTGTGAATCTGTGTGCGCCGCTGCGGGCTCGCTGGTCGCTCACCCTGCCGTTGCCTCCGGCAACGCACGCGCGCACTCTCGCAGGTTGTACGCCTTGAGCTCGGCCCACCGCGGCAGCACGCTGACTGCCGCGTCGGACTTGATGACCTGCGGAGGCGCGCGGGATGACACGCCGCAGGAGAGCAGTGTCGTGGCGGTGGCGTTGGCGGTGGCGGTGGCGTTGGCGGTGGCGGAGGAGCGGTGCATGCGCGCCTCAATCACGACGGCGGCGGAGGGGGCGCGGAGGTTGACGGTCGCCTTGGGCGCGACGGCGTGTACCGCCGCCGCAACCTCCCGGATCACGCTCTCTTTGTCGACGGCTGTGTTGTGCCTCCGCCGCCACTGGACCGCAAAGGTGCCGCCAAACCCGGCGAGAGGAGCGAGCAGCGGCTGGAGCGCAGCCACGATGGCGGCGGGGGTCGCGCCGCAGACCGCCTGCGGGCAGGAGAGGGAGGCCTCGCGACGGCGGGCGCTCGCCACCTCCCCCCTCCCCCTCCCTCCGGCCCGGCTCCACCTGCACCGGAAGCAGCCGGATCACGTGCGGCGCGCTCGACTCGCCCCGTGCCTGCGCCTCGCCGAGCGCGCGGCTCGCAATCTCAGTCGGGTCGTCGGCCTCCTCGCTGAACCGCAGCAGCACCGTCCCCGCGCAGCCGGTCTGCGCCACAGAGAAGCGCTTTGCATGTGCCGTGCCGCCGCCGCCGCTACCGCCACCCTCGCCACCGCCCTCCTTGAGGGCCGCCAGCTCGGCTGCAAGCTTGTCACCAGCGGTTCCGCTTGCCGAGCCGCCGTCGCCGTCGTCACCACCGACACCGCCGTCGCCGGCGGCAGCGCCGCCGCCAGCCAAGTCGTCGAGCAGCCTGTAAGCCTCTTTGATGGCCTTGTGCTCGAGGTGCGTGTCGCAGGTGATGAGGACGCCGCGCATGCCGCGCGAGAGCTCGCACACGCCCGGCGTCGGGGCTACGTACCGCCGCTTCGCGTGCGAACCACCGCCACCCTCGCCACCCAGGCGCTTGTTGCCGCCCATCGTGATGCGTGCAATTCTTTTTCTCTCGCTCGCCCCATGGGCCCGGCCGGGCGGGGCCGGCCGCATCGCGCTCTCACCGGAGGGTTTAAATGGGAAAAGAAAACACGTTTAGCCGCCGTTCGCCCGCCGCGGCCTGTGTGACCCGGAGCAGTCTTAGATGGTCCCCGAGCAGGACAGCGCGGCGCCGCCTCCAGCGCACGGTGCCGAGGCGGCGCCCACCGCGGCCGACTTTTCCGAGGCAGTTGCTGGCGGCGGTGACGACGCGACGGCGTCCCCTTCGGGCAGTGGCGACGCCTACGAGCCGGCGGAACGCGACCCGTTTGCCACAGCAGCGGACAACAATCCTTCGGGCAGCGACGAGCCTAGCGCCTTTGGCCGGATCATCAGCGGCACAAGCGTGGCGCCTGGACCGGCGGCGCTGCCGGACGACTTCAGCAGCGAGGCGCCCGGCTGGGATGCGGCGGCAGGGGGTGCTGCCGGCGGGGAGGGTGGCGAGTCTGCCTCGCCTGCCGCGGCTCGCCCTGAGGGCGGCGGCAGCAGCCCTCCTCCGGAACCGTTTGTGACGGAAGAGGGAGCGGAGGAGGCCGTCGCCGATTCCTCTGTTGCTGCCGCCGACGAGGTTGGCGCAGAGCCCGCGGTGTGCTCGACGCCATCGGTGCAGCCTGGGCCCGCCGAGACGCGCGCCCAGCTGGTCGCCGCGCAGGAGGAGGCGCTCGCGGCGGACGACTTTGACGAGGCGGAGCGGATCCAAGCGCAACTCGAGCAGCTGCAGCAGGAGGAGCAGCTGCCGAGGGCGGAGGAGCAGGTGCCGCAGGAGGAGCCGTCGCCGGAAGAGGTCTCTTCTGCCTCCTTCGACGACGCCACTCCAACCATCGATGCCGCCGCCGCGCCTGCCGCCTTTGGCTCTGGCGACTTCGGTGGGGCTGCGGCTGACGAGGCCGCCGCGCCTACCGCCTTTGGCTCTGGCGACTTCGGTGGGGCTGCGGCTGACGAGGCCGCCGCGCCTACCGCCTTTGGCTCTGGCGACTTCGGTGGGGCTGCGGCTGACGAGGCCGCCGCGCCTGCCGCCTTTGGCTCTGGCGACTTCGGTGGGGCTGCGGCTGACGAGGCCGTGTCGCTGCGGAGGGTGGAGGCGGGCTCGTCTGCGTTCGACGCCTTCGGAGAGGAGGAGGAGGAGGAGGAGGAGTGGGCAGACGTGGCCGAGGGGGGCGAGCGGGAGGCGAGCGACTTCTCCGACTCGCACGCCTTCGAGGACGGCGACGACGCGGATTGGGCCGACGTCAGCGCGCCGATGTCCTCCGGCGAGGAGATCTCCCCCGTCGGCGTGCGAGAGGGCGAGAGCGCCTCCCGCTTCGGAGAGCAGGCGTCCGCCTCCTTCGACCCGCCGGACGGAGCCGACCCGTTTGCGAGCGGAGAAGCTTCGGCCAGCTCGACCACCTTCGCTGGCTTCAGCGATGGCGGGTCGGCGGCGGCGTCCTTCGGCACGTCTTCCGCCGCCGGCGGCGGTGCAGCCGAGTTTCCAAGCGAGGACGGCTTCGGCAGTACGTCGTTCGGCGGCAGCGAGTCGGGCTTCTTCGCGTCGGGCAGCGGCGGCGGCGGCGGCGCCTCCTCCGGCTTCACCGACTCCGAGTCCGCTCCTGAGCCCGCGGCGGCGGCGTCCTTCTTCCCTTCGGACGGGTTCGGCGATGCGCCGGCCGGCGACGGCGGGTTTGGCGCAGGCGGCCTCCGGGCGGTGCCAGCAGGCCGCCTCTGCTAGCTGCGCACAACGAGTCCCTCTCACGCCGTAGGCTTCGCTACGTCCTTCGGTGGCGCCGAGTCTGGCTTCTTCTCGTCCAGCGCCGGTGATGAGTCGCCTCCACCACCAGAGTCCTCCTCCGGGTCCATTCCGGCGGCGGCGGGCGAGGCGGCGGCGGCTGCGTCGTTCTTCCCGACCGGCGGGTTTGGCGATGCGCCGGCCGGCGACGGCGGCTTCGGCGATGGCGGCTTCGGCGACGGTGGCGCCGGCGCAGGCAGCCCCAGCTTCGCTGCGAATCCCGTCTCAGCCGGGCGTGAGGCATGACAGAGCTCTTAACGCCATAGGCTCCACTGCATCGTTTGGCGACCCCGAGTCCGGCTTCTTCTCGTCCGGCGCCGGTGATGAGTCGCCTCCACCACCAGAGTCCTCCTCCGTGTCCATTCCGGCGGCGGCGGGCGAGGCGGCGGCGGCTGCGTCGTTCTTCCCGACCGGCGGGTTTGGCGATGCGCCGGCCGGCGACGGCGGCTTCGGCGATGGCGGCTTCGGCGACGGTGGCGCCGGCGCAGGCAGCCCCAGCTTCGCTGCGAATCCCGTCTCAGCCGGGCGTGAGGCATGACAGAGCTCTTAACGCCATAGGCTCCACTGCATCGTTTGGCGACCCCGAGTCCGGCTTCTTCTCGTCCAGCGCCGGTGATGAGTCGCCTCCACCACCAGAGTCCTCCTCCGGGTCCATTCCGGCGGCGGCGGGCGAGGCGGCGGCGGCTGCGTCGTTCTTCCCGACCGGCGGGTTTGGCGATGCGCCGGCCGGCGACGGCGGCTTCGGCGATGGCGGCTTCGGCGACGGTGGCGCCGGCGCAGGCAGCCCCAGCTTCGCTGCGAATCCCGTCTCAGCCGGGCGTGAGGCATGACAGAGCTCTTAACGCCATAGGCTCCACTGCATCGTTTGGCGACCCCGAGTCCGGCTTCTTCTCGTCCGGCGCCGGTGATGAGTCGCCTCCACCACCAGAGTCCTCCTCCGGGTCCATTCCGGCGGCGGCGGGCGAGGCGGCGGCGGCTGCGTCGTTCTTCCCGACCGGCGGATTTGGCGATGCGCCGGCCGGCGACGGCGGCTTCGGCGATGGCGGCGTCGGCGACGGTGGCGCCGGCGCAGGCAGCCCCAGCTTCGCTGCGAATCCCGTCTCAGCCGGGCGTGAGGCATGACAGAGCTCTTAACGCCATAGGCTCCACTGCATCGTTTGGCGACCCCGAGTCCGGTTTCTTCTCGTCCGGCGGTGCCACCGCCGCCCCGGACTGCAAGTCGGCGCCGCTGTCCGAGCCCAGCTCCTCGGCCTCAGCGCCAGCGTCATTCTTCGCTGCCGGAGGGTCCGGCGACGCGGCGGCGGGAGATGGCGGTTTCACGGCTTCCTTCGACAGCGCCTTCGGCGTCGGCGGTGGCGGCGGCGGCGGCGGCGGCGAGAGTTTCATCGAGTCTGGCGGCGAAGTTGGCGCAAGCACTGCGAAAGAGGAGCTCGACGCTCTGGTCCGCGAGCTAGTCGCTGGTGGCTTTCCGGAGGAGGTTGTGAGGGAGGCGTTGGCCGCCACCAACAACGATCGGTTGGCCACGCTGGACCGGCTGGCGACGCTGCCGGTCGAAGCTGGTGGCGTCGTCAAGGCGCCCGCCCCCTCCAAGCCGGCGGCGGCGGGGCGGTTCGCGAGCCTCTTCGGCAAGAAGAAGGAGCAGCCGAAGTCGGGCATCGTCCGGCCTGCTCCCGCCGCCCGCCCTTTCCCCGCCTTCCAGCAGCCGCCGCCGCCGCCGCCGAAACCGCCGCCGGAGCAGCAGCAGCGCGACGGCGCTCCGGCTGACTCGGAGCAGGCGGCCGCCGAAGAGGCTTTCCTCGCGCTGCGCGCCGACCCCGCATTCAAAGGCACAAGCGACAGCGCGATCAGGGCCGCCATCGCAGCAGCGGCCAAGAACAAGAAGGCCAAGGAGGCTCAAGAGCAGGCAGCCGGCGAGACCGAGCCGCCGCCGCCGCCACCGCCGCCGCCGCCGCCGCCGCCGCCGCCGCCGCCGTCGTTTGATCAAGCTGAAGCAAGGCAGGACCCGCCGTCTAGCGACAGCGGATTCGCCGGCGTTGCGGCGTTTCCCCCGGCGTCCTTTCCTCCGCCCGCCGTCGGCGCGATGGATTCCTCTTCGCTCGACCTCTTTGGAGGAGCGTTCGCACCTGCGCCGGCTTGCGTCATGGCGTCCGCCGACATGGCCAGCAGTGTCGATGTGTCGGTTCCAGCCGACCCGCTCGCCACTTCGGATCTGGGTGATTTGGCCAGCGGAGGCGGGTTCGTTTCCCTCGCTCCGACCGCAGCCGTGACCGCACCCCAAGGCGGTTCGAGCGGAGCGGGCACTTCCTCGGAGTCGCTTGGCGAAGAGCTGAAGGGGCTCAAGCTGAAGGCGCTCAAGGCTCGCGCCAGAAGCGAGGGCGTCTCCGAGGAGCAAATCGAGGACGCCGACGACGCTGACGACCCGAAGGCAGTAGTGATCGAGCTCATCCTCGCGCGGCAGGCCGCCAGTCCTCTGGGCGCCGTTGCTCCAGCTTTCGCGCCCGCTGCCGCGACTTTCGACGGCGGCAGCATCATGCCGACCTTCGCCGCGGACGCATTTGTGACTTCCGCGCCTCCTGCAGCGGCGAGCAGCTTCTCCGCTTCGTTTGACGCGCCTAGATTTGACGGGCCTGCTGAAGAGGGCGCTTCGAGCCTCCCAGCGAGCTTTGGCGACTCCCTGGCCTTCCCACCCGCACCCGCCGAGGAGTCTCTGGCAGCGGCCAACTCGAAGCCGTTCGGGTTGCCCTTGCAGGCAGGCTCTTTCGGCGGTGGCTTCGCAGCCAGTGACGACCTTGCGAAGGACGGTTTTACACCCACCGGACCCAACGATGTCTTCGCGCCCTCCGCGCCCCCCGATAGCTTCGGGCCAGCCGCGCTAGCCGCGCCCTCTGCGCTGGGCGACAGCTTTCCCTCCGCGCCGGCGGACAGCAGCTTCGCGCCTGCAGCGCCTGCCGCGAACACCTTCGAGCCTTCCGACACCTTCGCGCCCTCCGACACCTTCGCGCCCTCCGCGCTGGGCGACAGCTTTCCCTCCGCGCCGGCGGACAGCAGCTTCGCGCCTGCAGCGCCTGCCGCGAACACCTTCGAGCCTTCCGACACCTTCGCGCCCTCCGACACCTTCGCGCCCTCCGCGCTGGGCGACAGCTTTCCCTCCGCGCCGGCGGACAGCAGCTTCGCGCCTGCAGCGCCTGCCGCGAACACCTTCGAGCCTTCCGACACGTTCGCGCCCTCCGACACCTTCGCGCCCTCCGCGCTGGGCGACAGCTTCGCGGCTGCGGGTGGCAGCGAGGAGCGGGTCCGCGAGGCCGAGACGGGCTGTGGCGCCAAGGACAGCTTTGGCGTGCTGTCGGCTGATCTATTTGCGGAGCCTCCCGCAGCGGGCACCGCGGTTGCCGAGGGCGCTCTCGCCGTGGGGACGAGGTGCTGGTACACCTCTTCGCAGGACGGCAGCAGGCTCTTGGTCGAGGTGCTCAAGGTGTACTACGACGACCCTCCTCCCTACTACTCCATCCGCATGCCAAACGGCTCCGAGCGCAACACCGTCCGCGAGAAGCTCGTCGTCGCGAGCGACGCGGAGATCGCGGCCGCAGAGGCGCCGGGCGAAGCGGCTGGCGAGGCTTCGGCCGCTCCTGTGGTGGACGAGGCCGGTAGGTGGCACTTCGAGGACCAGGGCGGCGCCGTGCAGGGGCCCTTCTCGCTCGCGCACATGCGCGCCTGGCACCGCCTCGGCTACTTCCCGCCGTCGACGCGAGTCCGGCAGGGAGACGACGGGGCGTGGTCCACAGTCGCACTGGAGCCCGAGATCACCGAAAAAGAAATCACCGCCGACGAAGAGGGCACGGCAGGCGTCGGGCTAGAGCCTGGCCTCGCAAGCAGCGGCTCCGCGCCAGCAGCCGACACCGGCGCAGCCCTCGCGCCGGGCCTCTTCGGCGGCGCCGTCGACGCGGCGCCCGTCGTTGCGGCAAGCGCCGGTTTTGCCACCGCGCTCGAGCTGCCCGGTGACAGCGAGGCTGCGTTTGTGGCGCCGATGACGGGCGCTGCGTCGAGCGACACGGCGGCGCAGGTGATGGGTGCGAGCGACATCGCCCCAATGGGTGCGAGCGACATCGCCCCAATGGGGGTCGCCAAGGCCTCCGCGGACCCGTTCGCTTCGTTTGCTGCCACCGCCCGAAGCGCGCTCTCCGGAGCAGCAGCGGGAGCGGCCGAGCTGACCGCCGGCGTGGCGAAGGATGAGGGTGGAGGCGAGAGCGCAGCAACGCCGCCGGGGGATGGAGCGGTGCTGTCGCCACCTCCGGCTGAGGAGATTGTGGCGCTGGAAGGCGCGTCAGCCGACACCGGCGCAGCCCTCGCGCCGGGCCTCTTCGGCGGCGCCGTCGACGCGGCGCCCGTCGTTGCGGCAAGCGCCGGTCTTGCCACCGCGCTCGAGCTGCCCGGTGACAGCGAGGCTGCGCTTGTGGCGCCGATGACGGGCGCTGCGTCGAGCGACACGGCGGCGCAGGTGATGGGTGCGGCGGCGCCGGTTGCGGAGAGCATTGTCGTGGTGGACGGCTGGCTCGCCGACAGCACGGCACCCCCCGCTGCTGCGGCTGGTGGGGCCGGGGCCGGGACAGGCTTTGGCGCGGCCGGCTTCGACAGTGGCGCGGCCGGCTTCACCAACAGCGGGCCTGGCTTCGACAACAGCGTGTCCGGCTTCGGGACGAGCTTTGCCCCCGCGCCCACCGAGGCCGCCTTCCCGCCCGCCGCCGTGCCGCCGCCAGCCGATCGCCCCTCCGGCGGCTTTGGTGACCCTTCCACTTTCTCACCTGCGCTCGCTGAGCCCGCAAGCTTCAGCTCCAGCAGCTTTGGCGACGCGTCCAGCTTTACACCCGCGCCAACCGAGGCCTCGGGCTTTACGCCTGCCGCCTTCACGCCTGCCGCTGCCCCGCCGCAACCGTCGCCGCCGCCGCCGCCGCCGCCGCAGCAGCAGCAGTGGGCGACGACCCAACAGCCGATGCCGCAACACGGCCACTCGTACGGCGCAGGAGCCAGCAGCTACTACCCGCAGGCTGCAGCGATGCCGCAGGCTGCAGCGATGCCGCAGGCGCCGCAGCAGCAGTACTACCCGCAGCAGCAGCAGCAGCAGCAGCAGCAGCAGCAGCAGCAGCAGCAGCAGCAGCAGCAGCAGCAGTACCACCACCACGGCTACGGCGGGTATCCCGGCGGCATGGCGGGGCAGATGTACGCAGCCCAGCCGCAGATGTACGCTGCGCAGATGTACGGGCAGCAGCAGATGTATGGGCAGCAGCAGATGTACGGGCAGCAGCAGATGTACGGGCAGCGCATGTACCCGCAGCAGCACGCGGGCATGGGCCAAGCGCAGCCGCAGGGCGCAGCCGCCGCGGCGCCCAAGTCGCTGCAGCTCAACCCGACCACCGTGAACCCGCTTGACAACATGTTCGGCAAGAAGAAGTGACGCGCCAAGAGAACGAGGGCACCGCGATCGTGTGTACTGTACCCGGTGGGGGTTTGCTGTGGGTTTGATGCGCCGTGTAGCTTGTAGGTGGTGTCTGGTGTGTTGCGTGCGCGAACCGCGATCGCGGTGTCGGCGTCGTCCGTCGAGGCCGAGACTCTGACTGTGGCTCTACCGACGGCACGCACATCTATGTATAGCCGGTTTAAAGCCGTACACCCGGGCAACGCAAGCTCCTTTTTAAACATTAAAGCCGTACAGAGTTTGGTACGATTTTCTAGCTATATGCTCTCCGTCCTCGACATTTGATGGATGATGCCTGCCTTCTCACAGGAGTTTGTCGGCACGTCGCGTCGTCGGCGCGGCGGCGCGCAGCGGCGGGCGCTGACGTGCTCGGTGAGCACGGCTGGGTGGCTGGGAGCGTTAAAAAAACAAACGACCGTCGTTCGGTGTCGTAACGTATGTTTGTGGGGGAAATGGATACTAAATCGGCCGCCACGGAGGCAGATGGTTGAGCGAAGTGTAGTACGACCTGTTCGTCTGTCTCTCTCTCTCTTCTGTCTGTCTGTCTGTCTAGGTGGCCGACCGTAGCGGACAGTGAAAGGCGCACTGAGACAACCCTGTTCTCCATGTTCTCTAGCTTGTCTGTCCGTCTCGCATAGAGCGAAGGTGTTGCGGTGGCGCGGGCAGTCCCCAGCCGTGCCGGAAGCCCTCCGCCGCGGCCGCAGTGAAGGCGTGCTGAGAACGAGGCGGCGCGGCGGACGGTCCGAGATGAGACGCCAGGTTCAACACCGCGGCGGCCGGCACCTCCGCCGACGGCCGGCGCAGCTCCGCATCAGCCAGCGCCTCTGCCGCGAGCAGCGCCAGCTCGGCACGTTGCAGGTCGGCGGTTAGCTCCGCGGCCGCAGCGGCGGCGCGTCGGTGCGGCGGCACCTCGCCTGGCATGGCCTCGTGGAGCTCTGCAAGGTGGACCTGGAGGTTGCCCTCAGCCTCGATGAAGTCCTGGACGATCTGCGACAGGTCCTCGCCGGCGCTCAAGGCGCGAAACATGCGGCGGCACGCGTCGTGCCCGGCCTCGAGAGCGGGCAGCGCCATATGTGTGTGTATATGTGCAGATGTTTGTGCACACGCGAAGCGCCACACGGTGGCCAAGTCGCAGCGGAAAAAATAACGGCGGCCTGGTCACTTTCCTGCCTCGAAAGGGCGGGGCTGTCCCGGAAAGTGAGAGACGCCGGGCAGCGTGGCGCACAACTGAACCCTCCCATACGTGTCTGGCTCCTCCTTTGCTGTCCCATCTCCTCATCTCTTTCCCGCCTGGGCGGGGCAGTGGGCGGGCGCGCGGTGCGGAGATGTGTGTAGATGTGAGATTTTCAGTGTACGTACTTTTAGCTTACTGGGAGAAAAGGGAGGGGGGTTGTGTTCTCTAGGCCCCTAAGGGCCCTGCGCGCGGCGTGAGAGCTTGGAAGCGAGCTTTGCACGGCGATCGAGGAAGGCGCGGTTCACCCCCTTCACCGAAGCGATGGAGATGCGTTCCGCGTGGTGTGACACAAATGAGAGGCGGGAGTGGGGAGGGTACGCGGTCGGTGCGGGCGGTCAACGCCCGAGCGTTGAGCCTTGCGCACAAGGCGGTTGATCTTTGCAACTGCTGGCGGCGAGAAGCCACCGCCGAACTCTCAGTGTTATGTAGCTCTTACCGACCGGTCTTACGTACGTAGGTAGGTCGTAGCCGAAGGTGAATGAACTGCTGACAGGGTATTTTTGAAAACAGGGGCTGAGAGTGCTAGACAACCCAAGCAAGGGAGGGATGGGAGAGAGAGAGATTTTAGAAAACCAACAAGAAATCACGTCTGTTGGGATGGGAGGACGGCACGCCGCCACCACAGCGCACAGGGATTTTAAGGAGAGGAGTGTGGTTAAAGAAAGAAAGAATCTTTCAACACAAGCCTCTCTCACAGCACACTGGCACGAGAAGGGCGCGGACTAGAGCACACCAGCGGACCAGAAAGAAAGAAACGAGCAGCCACCAAGTTATCGCAGGTGTGTGCGGGCTGGTGCCATGTGCAGGCGGGCGAGCTGCTGCCTCCTGCTGGCCTTCCCGCTTGCCACTGGATCACCCTGGGGCCCGAGCGGGCCGCGGCTCGCTCCTGCACCGCCCGTGCCGCAGCCGCAGTGCTTCGACACCTCGCCCGCCGCCAAGCTGCGCGGCGGGTCTATAGCCGGCACGTGCGAGAGCGCAGCGCTCCGCGAAGTGAAGGAGTGGCACCCGGTGCTGCTTGCGCTGCTGGGGACCTCCTTCGGCTGGTTCATGACCGCGCTCGGCGCCGCCGCCGTCATCATCAAGCGGCTCGGCCTGCCGGAGCCGCTCTTCCGGAAGGTGCTCGACTTCTTCCTCGGTGTCTCTGGCGGCGTGATGACGGCCGCGTCGTACTGGTCGCTGCTCGCGCCGGCGCTCGACTTTGCCGAGCAGCAGGGCTGGGAGGAGGGCTGGGCGGCGATGCCGGTCGCGCTCGGCTTTGTGTCTGGCGGCGCGCTGCTGCAGCTGACCGACCTGCTGATGAGCAACCTGCACGAGTCGCTGGAGGACCTCTCGCTCTACAAGAACGTCGCAACCTCGGAGGGGTCGGCGACGCGGTCGCAGCGGCTGCGCCGCCTGCTGCTGCTCATCATCGCCATCACAATCCACAACTTCCCAGAGGGCATGGCGGTCGGCGTCGCGTTTGGGGCGCTCGGGTCGGCCCCGGGCGCGACGTTTGGCAAGGCGGTCTCGCTCGCCATCGGGATCGGGATCCAGAACTTCCCCGAGGGGATGGCGGTCTCGATGCCGCTCATGCGCGAAGGCATCTCCCCGCTGCAGGCCTTTTGGTGCGCTCTCCTCCCGCCGGCAGAGTGGCCGCTGCTCCTCTCTCCTCTCCCGCCCTAGCCTCCTCCTCTGGCGACGGGGGAGGCCCGTGCTGCAGGTACGGCCAGCTGTCCGGGCTGGTGGAGCCGATCGGGGGCGTGCTCGGCGCCGCGTTTGTGCAGTACTGCAAGCCGATGCTCCCTTTCACCATGTCCCTCGCCGCTGGCGCGCCGCCCTCCCCCTCCCTCCCTGCCGGGCCCTTCTCCTTGCCGCGGTTCGCCCTCTCACCCCGACGGGCCCTCTCCCGCCTGACCCCTCCCGCCGCACGGGCCTGCCCGCGCAGGCGCGATGATCTTCGTGGTCGCCGACTCGCTCGTCCCCGAGATGCAGGCGCACGGCAACAAGGCCATCGCGATGCAGGGGCTGATGCTCGGCTTCGTCTTCATGATGGTCCTCGACGTCACGCTCGGCTGACCGAACGCCAGCGCCGCTCACCCGCCGCTCACCCTGCCACTGCGCAGACACCACCGAGGTCGCAGCTAGTGGGCGCACACACCTCCTCGAGGAGATGGGGCGGATCAGGCGCGCACACCGCTCGTGCGCCCGCAACGCAACCGTCCGTGTACAGCCGCTCCGGTACTATTGTGGGCGTCGTCCCAGACATTGCGAAGTGTTTGTGCGGGTCGAACCTATAAAAGAAAGAAAGAAAACCTGGATGCAACACAGACAAGCCCGGAAGTGGGCGGACAGAGGGATGATGTTGGGGGACCCCTTTGATGATTGATCGTGCTTCGTGGCCGAGACGGGACAGAGATCAGAGTGCCGTGCAAATGAGGTTGAGGACGGGTTCGATGCACTAGCAGCTGCCGTCGCTGGTAGTCAGCGCTTTTTCCTGCCCCAGGCGAGACGCTGTACAACGCCCCCTACAAGGCAAAACCCCCTCGAGCGCGCAGCTCCTGGGTACGCTAAAATGGCATCGGGACAGGCGCAGGTACATCGTGCCCAGCCGCACGCCGGTCTCATCCTGGCCGCACCCGTGTCGCCCGCCGCGCCGCCGCCGCCGCCGCCGCCGCCCGCCGCGCCGCGCCTCCGGCGGCCGAGCCGCGCCGCCCTGCGGCGCAGGAGCAACGTGTCAACCTCGAGAACTCAATCAAGCTGCAGCGAAACATGATGAAGATGGTGTTTGGCGAGCTTGCCTACCAGCGGCAGCTCTTCCCGGAAGACTGCTTCGAGCTCAAGGAGATGGGCGGGAACCACATCCACACCTTGTCCGCCGAAAGCGACAATGTGCGGCCGCCGTCCTGCTCCCTCCGCCCTCTCTCGTCCTCCATCTTTCTCCCGCCACCCGCAGGTCTACCACGAGCAGGTCTCCCGCATGATCTCCTGGTACAGCGATGACAGCATTTTGGAGTGAGTTCGGCCCCGCCACGCGCACCATCTCCTGCGCCCGTAGCTCCCGCGCTCACACCCGGCCCGACCGGCTTGCAGTGCCCTGCGCAACGGCTACCTGGAGAAGGTCATGTTTGTGCTGGCCCACGACCAAGCCTGTGAGCACCCAATCGAGGTCTGGGACCTCAGCTACACCTACGAGAGCGACGACACCGTCTCGTCTCGCTTCACCCGTCGCTCGGGCGGGGGCGGCGCGCCCGCATCGGAGAGCATCGAGGTTGCGCGCAGCCGCCCAAAGGACAAGGTCACCAAGGACTACATCCGGGACGTGGTCAAGGTCGTGCTGCGGCGGCTCAGCCTGCTCCTCCAGGGCCTCGATGACGTGCCGCAGGAGCGGTGGTGTGGCATGAGGCTGCTCTACCGCGACGATGTGACGCCCAGCGACTACGAGCCGTCCGGCTTCTCGCCGGCGCCCGCGACCGTCGCTGGCGCCGGGTCGTTCTTTTTTGAGCGCCCGGCAACCTTCTTCATGGTTGGCAAGGTGTCGACCGGCCACCACGCGCTGTCGCTTGGTGTCGCGCTGCCGGAGATGCCTGGAATCGAGCCCACCGCGCACGATGAGGCGTGCACCACCCGCGACGGCAGCGGCTACCGCTTCGATCTCGTCCAGGCCGCCGACGGCCCTCCCGACGACGAGGACGAGCTGCGAGGCGGCGTCGGGCTGCGGGGCGGTCGTCGAGGGAACGGCGAGGACCTTGAGCGGCTCACGCAAGAGGCGAGCGAGGGTCTGGAAGACCACATCGGTGCGCACATCACGGCGCACGACCTTGCCGCCGAGCTGGAGGTTGAGGCGATTGTCGCCGAGGAGGTGCTGCAGCGTCTTCAGGCGGACGGTCGCGTGTCGTGCCTGAAGCCGAACCCGCAAGGGCCGCCCACCCGCCAGGTGCAGCGGTTCCCCTCCGGAGCGACATCGCAAGATGAGAGCGCGCACGAGTGGACCGAGGTCGACGATGGGCCCTCCGATGCAGAGACCGTGGCGCACTGGAACTCCTCCCCGCCCCCGCGCGACCGGAGGGCCGCGTCCGGCGAGGCCTCCCCCCGCAAGAAGCTCCGCGTGCCGCTCAAGAAGCAGCCCATCGCGCATCAGAAGCAGCCGCTTGGCGACCAGCTGCAGGCCACTCGCTCGAGCAAGCGGCAGCGCAAGGCCTCGATGTCCGAGCCCATCGCTCCGGCGCGCCTCTGAGCGCATGCCATCCGTGGCGCCAAGGCAGAGGCGCATGTCCGGCCGGGGCTGATTGCCCTCGATGAGCGTTGCCTGAATGATGGGGACTGAATGATGGGGACAGCGCCGCGGTTGCGTGTGCGGCGAGTGGCTACCTGCAGCAGGCCCGTGAAGACGATGACACTTCTCACGCCGCGCGCCCGTCCCACGCATCCCCGACCGAGTCAGAGACAAGCCTGTGTCAGGACGACAGGGCGTCACGCGCGCCGTGCGTCACGAGAGACCGAGAGCAAGCTCGGTCTCAGCACAGACACACCACATCGATGGAGCCCCTGGGCGCCTGATCAGGATTCACGTTTAGCTTATAGTACAAAAGTTGCGTGTAATAGCTTTAGAAAGCCGTACAAAAGCTCAATATACAATAAACGGGTGCGCCCCCCCGCTCCGTTCCCTCTCGCAGCCCACACCACGCAAGTCTCACCGCGCTCCCCACCGCGCGCCACTGGTTGGGTAGTAGTCTAAGTTCTGAGCCTCGAGGCTGGACGGGTCTAAGTGTGGCTAGCCACGCTGGAGTGCTTGCGCGGTCTAAGATCAGCGGGAGCCTCTTACATCGGCTAAGTCGGCCGTGGCACGGCCTGGGGCCAGGAGGCTCCCACCGTGATCAACGATACGGCGCAGCCCCCAAATTTTCTTCGCCTGCGGAGGGCGATGGATCCTCTTCATGCTTAGCAATCGCCGCCTCAGCATCCTCCTCTTCCGATTTTCGTTGCTGCTCCTTCATTCTTGAGCGACGTCTAGCCAAACAGTTCTCACATGACACGAAGCTCCTCAAGCTTAATCAAACGCGTGACGGTGAAGCCTGTGTGTGCTGGTCCTCTTTGAACGATCCGCGCGTGAGGTAGCATAGGGCCTTGTTGGCAGCAGCCAGCTTGTTGCGCTGCTTCGTTGCGATGAGCTGATTGGGATCGCAGAAGTGCATGCCAAGCACCACCACGATCTTGAAGCAGAACACATCGCAACCGCATCGTCCGCACTGCCATCGGCATGCCGCGCCCGCCGCTTCGCCGCAGCCGCCTTAAGGCACGCATAGCGGCAGCACATGGTGGGGGGGGTACTTGAGCAGGCGTTGCGCGCCGCAAGTAGCGCACTGGCCCTGGGAGAAGGCGATATGGCGTCGTGCGCGGCATACGCGGCATACGTTGGTGGGACGCGTCCAGGTATTTCGGGTAAACCTGGAGGCTTTTCAGGTATACCCGGGTTTTGCCCGGAGTTGGCCTTATGTCGTCTAAGTTCATGGCCCCCGACCATACAGCGTCTAAGTCCGAGCCCGGCTCCGTGTGGGGGCTAAGTTGAGCGCTCGCTCGCTGCAGAGGCTAAGTGTAGAGCGACCCTCTAGCCCTACTACCCAACCATTCGCGCGCCGCCGGGAGGGGGAGGCGGCGGGATCCGCCCTCTGAGAGCCCCCTCTGAGCCCTCTCGCGGTGTCTCCGAGGGAGCCCTCACTACGCTGCAGTCCGCCACACCGTCACACGTCGATACACACACCGTCTTGTGGTCTTCGTTGTGTCAAAAGAGTTGAAGGCCCTCTACGCGCTCTACGCACTACGGCTTCGTACCGTATTTTGTGCAGCAAGACGGGCCACCCCGCGCGCAAAACATAACCACAAGAGTATGGGTGTATAGCGAGACCGTCGGGCGACAGACACGAGACACCTGACGAACGTTCACAACGCAGGCCGAGTAGTTCCAATTTACACACAGAGCACAATGTCGCAGCTACACGCGCAGTCGGTACCATGTTAAAGACGAGAGCACTGAGTACCGAGAGTCTCCAACCCGTCATCGCCGTCTCGTTTAGGGTCCGGCGGCTCTTTTGCCCGAGCCAGAGCCACTGCATCGCCCTCCGTGGCTTCGGCGCCCTCCCGTTGCAGGGCCCTCGCCCGCGCGACGCGAGCCATCTCGGGCCAGTCCGTAGTCCGGGCCAGGTGAGCGTGCTGCCCCACCACGACGAGGCCGATGGCCGCGACGAGGCCGAGCCAGATGCCTTGGACGCCCATGCCGAAGCGATAGGCGAGCAGCGAACCTCCCGGGACGCCGACAGCGAAGAAGGCGAATATGTTGAGGGTCGCGGGCGCACGCAAGTCGGCGCCGAGCCCGAACAGGACCTGCTGGCTCCACCCAGGGGCGAGGGTGGCCAGGACGGAATACAGGGTCGTGACTGGCATGAGCGACACCGTCGTCTCGAGCACCGCCGCCGCCTCCTCGCTCTCGCCCTCCACGAAGAAGGTTGCGATCCGCCGCCTGTTGGAGACGACGACCGCCGCGAGCGTGATCGATGAGAGGGAGGCCGCGACAAGCGCCACGCCCCCGGAGAAGCGAGCCTCCTGCCCCTTTCCCTCTCCCAGCAAGTTGCCTATGCGATTACACGCCGCGAGGCCCCACCCAAAGACGAGCAGGAACTCGCAGACAAAAACCGTCGTGCAGATGGGGATGGCGGCCGTCACCGCGCACGCCGCCGCGCCGCCGCCGCACAGCCCAGACGCCACGAAGAGGGTGCACTCCCAGCCTGCCCACTCGGACATGGTCATCGCGGCGGCGGGCGCGCCCTTGCTGACAATCTCGCTCCACCCTTGCAGCGCCTGCCGCCCCTCGCCCCTCCACCGCGGCCACGACCGGAGGCGGTGCCGCCGCAGCACCACCGGCGCTGCCAGCCAGATCAGCAGGCCGGCCAGCAGCTCGGTGATGGTCATCGCGAGGGGCGCACCATCAAAGCCAAACGAGCGAGTGAGGCCGATCACCAGGCCCACTTGCAAGGGCGACAGGGCGGCGTTGACGAGCATCGGCAGCCGAACGCACCGCTGCGCGTTCAGAAAGGCGGCCAAGTCCACGTTGGCGGTCACGCCGGGCAGCCCGAGCAGCCGGATCCAGACGAAGCGCTGCGCGTTGGCGACGACCGAGGAGGGCTGGCCGGCGGCCGCGAGGAGGGGGCCGGCCACGGCGGTGAGCGGGAGAGAGAAGCAGAGCATGCAGGCCACGTGGATGGCGAGGAGCCGCATGAGGACCGTGCCGACCCTGCGGCTGTTGCCAGCTCCATGCGCTTGCGAGAGGAGCGGCGCGGCGCCAAAGGTGGAGGAGCGGATCAGCATCAGCTGCGAGACGTTGCAAACCATGGACCCGATGCCCGCAGCGCCCACGAGGAGCTCTCCTTCCGGGAGATGGGCGACGGCCGAGAGCAGGAAGATGCGAGGCGCAAAGCCGACCACCGAGGTGACGGTCTGCGGCCAGCCGAGGACGGCGAGCTCGCGCACCTCCAAAAGGAAGCGGCGGTGCAGCGGCGACGCGAGCAAGGCGGAGCTCCCGCCGACGTCTGTGCCAATCACCGAAAGCCTTGCCTCGCGGCACATGTGCGCGAATGCCTAGATCTATCCAGCACGGCCCGTGGAGCGACGGCAGCACGGCCGTGGAGCGACGGCTGCACGGCCGTAGGTGGAGCGGCAGTCGCGATTGTCGATCCCACACCCGCCGCCCACCCCGGCCGGGAGAAAGGGGAGTGCCAGTTTGGGACGGCAACAGAACGAGTATCTTGTGCAAGAACGCAGGGTAAATGTAAGCCGGATGGCTCACAGGCCACCTCTTGCGCCCCGACTGACCGATCTACCGCACTGATCACTTCCGCCCCCTTGCTCCCAGCCCATCCACCTCGCCGAGTCCGAGATATGCCAAGGCGCCGCACACCTTATGAGGTTGTTATGCTGGCTGTCATAACAACCAGTGGGAGGTGTTATGAGTGTTACTGTATGAGGTGTTATGAGGTGTTATGAGGTGTTATGGTAGGGTGGGCATAACAGCCATAACAGTGATGGAGGTGTTATGGGGTGTTATGGGGTGTTATGGGGTGTTATGAGCAGCCAGCCATAACAGCTCTCCTCCTTGATTGGGGCCAACAGAAAGAGCCCTAGCACTGCCGGTTGGGCAAGGGGAAGTCGTGCTCCGCGCATGCCTCGGCGGTGACGGCAGCGGGCATCTCACGGACGGTTGCCTCGTCGCAGCAGGAGGCCTATGTAGCCAAGATACAGCCCCAAATGTGCTGTAGGAGAGAGGCAGCTAAGCGGCGATGTGAGCGGCTAGCCTTGAGCTTGCGAAAGTACCGCCGCTCTTCGCCGCGAGGTCCAGAGCTCTCCTCCCACTTTCCCGCCGCTTGCCGAATGTTGTAGATGGCGCCGCTAAAGGTCGAGGGCAACGACCCTAGGGAGGAGGGCAGCTCAGAGGAAGGAGGCCGCGCGGGTGGCGCGGAAGCTGCTGCTGGTGCATCTGGGACAAAAGCGATCTCTCAGCACCCCCTCTTCGCTACGGCACACCGAGAAAATTGTCCGCCTGAATCGCGATCAGCATCTCGAACACGCCTACTCACACTTCGATCACTGAAGAGACGATAAATTACCGCCGTCGACGCAAGTCTCTGGCAACCGATGATGTCCTTCCACAGAGAGTGCAGCAAGTCAGGCAGGATCAGCAGAGGTTGACGGAGTGAGCCGAGATGGGCCGAGATGGGCCGAGATGGGGCCGAGTTTGGCCGAGCTTGCCAAAGGCAGCCGGTGATGGCCTTCCAGAGGGCAGGTGGGTAGCCGCTCAGCGCCTCGGCGAGCGCGGGCTGGCTCAGGTCGTCCGCAAAAGAGAGGTTGAAGCCGGCCTGCGGCAATCCGCAGACGTCTCACCGCGTGATGCCTTGCGCAGCTCCGCCGCCAGATGTTGTCGCCTGTCGTACCGGCTCAAACCAACGCGCATTCCGCTCGTCCGTCGCGACGTACACCGGCACGCTCGGCGCAAAGCCTGCGCCTCGCAATCGCGCAGCGACGTCGGCCGCCTGCCCGTTGAAGACGGCGCCCCTACGACCTCGGCTGTCTCGGCTCAACCGCGGGTGGCAGGTCGCCACGTTGATGGAGCGCGGCGCGCCAGCTCTGGTAAGGCCTGTGCGTCGCCTTGTCTCCACGGCGGACGTGGATGGCGTTCCAGGCCGGACCGAGCCGCTGCTCCGCCATCGCCCGCGCGGCTGCCAAGAGCTCGCTCCGAAACCGAAGCGCCGGCCACAGCGCCGCCTGACGCGGCATGTTGGGGACGCGTCCCTGACGCGCCGCGTGGCATGCGTCGCCCGGCCAGACACCGCCACCTCGGCGTCGGCGCCCATCCGCCACCCCCACATGAGGCAGCAGCTGACGCGCAGCACGCGCGACGGCCGGCAACGCAGCAGCGACACAGCGCGGGCGGTCGCGCTCCATCGCGACATGTTGTGGTTGCACGACGGCGGTCGGACCGAAGACCAGCTGATCTAAAGGAGCAGGGTCGACTCGGTGGGAGCGGCGTTGTGCGGGTGGGTGAGGGAGGCGACGTGATCTCTCCACCACGCACCTCCACCTCCCCTTCCTTGACGGCAGAGCGGTTGAGCAGGTCATGCAGCATCGACGCGGAGCCGTGCCACGAGACAGCGGGCACCGCGCGGTTGAGCGCGCGCACGTCGATCAGCCGCGAGAAGGGCACCAGCTCAAGCCTACGCCCAAGGTTCCGCCGAGGTCCGCCGAGGCCCGCCGAGGCTGCGCGAGAAGGTGATCAGCTCCCGCCTCGTTTCAGCCACCTCACGATCGACGCCGTGTGGCGCAACCGGAGGCAGGATGAGAACACGGCCTACATGGGTGTGCGAGGTGGTCAAACGGCCTCTTCCAAGCTGCGTGCTTGGGAGTCCGGGACGCACCCAGCTGAGCGGCGACGTCCGCAGCCATGATGAGGTAGAAGAGCTGGTTTCCTATGTGCCAGCTCGGAGACATCTTAGGCTTTGTCTGGTCCGAGGCCGGGCGGAGAGGAAGAGCAGCTTTCCAAAGCCGCCAAAGGGCTCGTACCTAGAGGGAGGGCGCCTCGCAAGATTGCTCACTACGAGGTCTAGGGCGCTCAATCCCGTGAAACCCCTCCCCTCTGATCCTCACTAGCTGCTCCAGCGCGCCAGAGGAAGCGAGGGCTGGCCTCGAAATGCGGCTGCATCGCCAGCGCGTGCGGCCCATCGTCCGGAGATAGCCACATCCACGGCACCGGCTTGCGAGAGCGCTTGCGCATTCCAAATGCCGCGTCGACAAGTGACGCACGTGCTCGAGGTGCTGCGCCGGACGGGTTGGCAGCGACGAGAGCGGCTCGACCGCGGTCGCTCTCTGGAGCCCATGGCGACGCGGCGGCGGCGAGACTACAGGCGTGTGCCTTGCGCCGATGCGTGGTGCCAGCCATCGTGTGTCGTTTTGGCATACCTGGGTAGTGGTTGAACTTCCAAGTCGGGTTAGAGCGCGACCGTACAAGGTCCGAAGCGCACCATTTTCTTCTTATAGCTTTGTCTGCAGTGCGCCTCGCCTCCGCCACCACCGCCGCTCCCTCGCCAGACACGCCGCCGCCCACCCGCCTCCTCGACCTCCCCACGGACGGAGCTCTAGATAGACGGAGCTCCTCGAGCGCGAGAAAGAAATTCGCGGGCGCTCTCAACACTAGGATTGGCGCGCACTGGCACTAACAACAAAGAAAAAACAGAATAGACTTGACCCAGTTGGTACGCTCAATGCGCGCAGCCTGCTTGTTGATTGATGTTGGTGGCGTGCTGGCGTCGCCCGCCACTCACTCACTGTACTCTGTAGCCCTGCTGTACAGTGGGTTGCGGGCATTAAGAAAACAGGATTTTGCGGCACGCCGCCGTTTCTAAGGACTAAGCCTTTCCACAGCCCTCATCC